AACCAAACGCAACGGGATAATACTGATTACGCACAAGAACCAGAAAAGGGAAAAAACGATGATATAACAATACTTGATCTTCAATTATTTAAAGGCCATTCATATTCACCGTGCACACACACACACACACACGTGTTCATCATACACGAGGGCGTGAAATTTGAAAACAAGAGAAGATGTGAAGACCGATAAATGTGTCCATTGTTCACGAATGATTGATGGAACTCTTGTTCGATTTGTAATAATACTCGAGAGGACACGAAAACTGATAACTTCGTCAGTGTTACGGACGAGGGAAGATTTTTGCTGGAGTCTGAAACGAGGAACTGTCGTGGACGAATGATCCCGATGACGTTGTCGTCGGCTTCGAAGTCAGAGGGATTAGGTTTTCCAATCGAAGGGGCCCCACTGATTCTAACCCCTCGTCGGATTTTAGCCGTGCCGTCAGCCCCTTTGACCTCAGGTCTGCCAAACCACCCCCCGGGTTACGTAACAAAGAATAGTCAGTTTGTCACTGCTTCACTGTCAGGCACGAAAATGGACGACCGTTATTTTTAACGGCGACCCTCAAGTGTATATGGTAATAGAGTCCTCTCCTAATAATCTTCGCATCTCTGGCCTCACTGGCTTAACCATGACGTCAATCTTCCCACGAAATTAAAAACGGTTGGTCCTGAACTGAGAGTATTTTAAGTTTTATCTTCACTTTTTTTTTTCTTTTTTTTATAATTTAAAAACTGAGGGAACGTCCTTCAGGAGTCGGGGTGGCGTGGCGCATTTAAACCTTCTTGGCTCTTGCTGTGAACTGAGAAGGCTTAAATCAATTCAATTCAACCATTTCGCTACAGCTCTTCTCTTCTCACTGGAAATGGAAAACCAACGACGCCGCCGTGAATTGAGCTCCATTAGCTCCGGCGACTTTCTCCGGCAGAATTTAGATCCAATGAGCACCGACCCCACCGATCGTCCTATCATCAAAGAAATGGATTTCTTCTCTTCTGCTTCACCCGTTAAATCTTTTGAGACCAGAAATCACCAGCCCCAAGATCCCCACGACCGGATCAATCACGACGGATCATCAAGTGCTCCCTTACCTGATCGCCCCGTCAACGTAGGTTTTCTATTATATTTTGGGCATGCTTTCTCCTTCTGCTTTTTTTTTTTTTTTTTTGTTTGAGACATAGCTTTCTCCATTTCAATCTTTTGATTCTATCCAGTTTCCAATTTCCATCTCAATATTGAATCTCCTCCAAATAAAGATTTGAAAATAATTATCTGTCGTATATGTGGTCTATAGACTGGACTGAATTTGAACTGTGCAAGTCCTGGAATGCCAAGATCAGAAAAGGAGATGCTCAATACTGAACCAAGTGTGAGTCCGCCTCTTCATTCTTTCTCTGTTTGAAGACATATACGGACCCTCGCACAAACATATTCCATACTTATAGCATCAAAGTTAATTAATTCTGCGATATGTTCAGTCGTCAGTTTCTGAGCTATATATCTGCTTATTAATATTACTATTTTCAGTTGAGTGCACTTCAAGGGGAATTGCGGAGGCTGCATGAAGAGAATCAGAAGTTGAAAAATATGCTGGAACAGATCACGAAAAGCTATAACCAGCTGCAGGCACATCTGTTCATCGCTTTGTATGAACAAAAGGCTCAGGTAAATATTTAATCTGCTGTATATATGTCTATTATTCCTTTATAGCTCTTTCGTTTTAATCGTCCAGAGTCGGGGGTATTTTCAGAAGCAATCAATCTTTTTGGTTCTGAAGATATATAATCGATTTCAATAAGAAAGTAGTATCTGTTTCATCGCGTCTCTGTATGTGGTCCCTCCCCTCTCTCTCAGTAGAGAAATGGTAACGTGCATCAATTAAATTGGAAATCGTGCTAATCCTGGATACGATCCCAGGCAGTGGGTACCTTTATTTTCTTATTGAATTTTTCTGACCTGGATTTTACTTATTGAAATGATGCCTTGAAATTATGAATTTTTGTTATTATTACTTCGATGAAATAACGAAACAAGAACAGATCGAAACTAATAAGAATAAGCACATGACATGACTCAGTATTGACTCGGGCCCCGTCCTCCGATAAATTGATCCAGCACACAGGAAAAAGGGTTGAGACCCCCCATACGAATCAAAGTAGTGTGTACGTAGTTGTTTCTAGCAGCAACATGTGCAGCTGTTTTGTTATATTATAATTATAATACACAAACAATATCTGGTGGAAGTCAAACAGTAATTAAGGAGGTGGTACTTTATATAGTAATTTCAAATAATCTTTTTTAATGGCATTGAACAGAAGGTTGACGCAAATGGTATGTTGTCGGGACAAGAGAAAATATTGGACCCACGGGCGTCTACCAAATTACACGTCAACAATTCGGTTTCAGACGTCGATAAGACTGGAGAGCTTTCAGTCTCTCCTTCATCAAACAACGCGGAGGTAATGTCAAAGCAACGTGACCACCGCAGCTATCAGTCACCTAAACTTCACGGAAAGGAAGCAGCTTGTCCTGAAAATGTTTCCACGTCGCAAGATCTCAAAAGCGAAGAACCAAAGGCGGACATTCATTTCAGAAAAGCCAGGGTTTCCGTACGTGCAAGATCAGAAGCTCTTCTGGTAGTGTCCATCATTTCGAATACAATTCCCTCTCTGGGCAACGAAGCCAATATCTATAATATATTATTGAACGATTTCTATCTGTTTGTGGTTTACAGATTAGTGATGGATGTCAGTGGAGGAAATATGGTCAAAAAATGGCCAAAGGTAACCCTTGTCCTCGCGCCTACTATCGTTGTACCATGGCCGTTGGATGCCCCGTTCGTAAGCAGGTGATTAATGAAGGGTTTTCATAGCTATTCTTTCTTAAATCGTAGGCCTTTGTGATTCCCATCCCTTTACATTCGATTAATTATAGGTGCAGAGATGTGCGGAAGACAAGACGGTGCTGATAACAACGTATGAAGGGAATCACAACCACCCTCTCCCACCGGCGGCCACCGCGATGGCAAATACGACATCGGCAGCCGCAGCGATGCTTCTATCAGGTTCAACCGTGAACAGTGAAGCCTTAACAAATTCAGGTGGAGGGCACTTGTCTTCTATGCCCTACGCTTCAATGGCAACCCTATCAGCCTCTGGACCGTTCCCTACTATCACTTTGGACTTGACTCGGACCCCCAGAAGCGCGCAGCTTCACCGGTCACCGTCCAATGGGGTTACGTTTCCTCTACCGTTGCACGGTCACCCACTGCAGCAAATGGGGCAGTCTATGTTGTTTCCTCATCAGAAGCCACAGTTAGGGCAGCAACGAGAGCCTTCTATGGTGGAGACGATGAGTGCAGCCATTGCCTCCGATCCCAACTTCACTGCGGCGCTGGCGGCGGCAATCTCGTCTATCTTTGGGAGTAATGTGGATAGCGATGGTGGGAGTGGAAATGGAAATGCTATTCCCCTTCTTGGGATTCCTCCGTCGACTCAGCTTCCTCCGTCCTGCACTACATTCTCCACCAACTAGTATGCGCATTAGAACAAACAGGGGGCCTGATTTTTATATGTACAGATACAAGAGAGGAGTATAATGGCGCAACTTTATTATTTTTGAAAATAAAAGTTTACATGTAAGGAAAAGGTTATGACATATCATCAAGCTCTCAGTCTCACAGCTATACGAGGTACGTAATCCATGAAACGATTCGTGTCTATTCAATAATATTGCTACCTGATATTCTGATCTAATATTTGAGAAATATGTTTATCAATTAATAACTAGCTAACTAAAGATCTCAGCCAAAAATCCGTTTTCAAACTAAAAATACATTTCTGGTAAAAAAAAAAAAACTGAAAATACATTTAATTCCCGGTGTTTTCAAACCACATGAAACTTGCTCGGCCATTCATTAATGGAGAAGCGGCACCGCGGTGTGCGATAAACCCGGATGTGTTGCGCGCTGATAACGCGCGCATAGATCATCTTGGAGCCTTAGAGATTATTATTTTTTCTTTTAATTAAATATATCATGAAAATTCACGAGCACTGTATATACTTTGAAAACAATATATCAATTATAAAATCTTAAATCATTTTTCTGTCAGGTATGTGTTTATAATTATACTCATAAATTTATAAAAATTATGAATAATTTGCTACAATATAGTTTTATATACTACTATAATAATTACTTCGTTTTTGTGCAAGTAACTGGTATATGGCATTATCAATTAATTCATATTTGAGTATAATTTTGTTCCAAATGAGGTAACTCTCTTAAAATGATTTTTTCTCGTTGGCAAAATCTGAATCCATAACCTTATTTAAGAAGTATCTAGTCCCTTCTATTTAATCCAAATAGCAAAATAATTACTGTATCATCGTATATATGCAGGACGGATGTAATAAATGTAATCAAATTACATTTTCTTAGACACGTGATAATCATAGAGGGTCGAAAGTGTAATATTACCTCTGGTCTTTGACATGAGAATTAGGTTATTAATTTGGAGAGATTAAGAAAATTTTTAAGTTATTTATTTTTAACAAATGTGTATTAACTTTTTTAATCCAACATATCTGATCACATGCACTGAAATTATCTCTTAATTCCTTACAATTAATAAAAAAATTTGAAAAAAATTATAAATTTAAAAAACAAAATAAATTATTATTTTATATTTAGAATTAAATTTAATTTTTTAACTAGTTCTTATATTAAAAATCATAATAATCATTTGGTTTTACATTTCCTAGCAACCATCTGGGCCAACAACAAAGGGCCCATCATCAATGTGGCCCACATGACTCGGCAAGTCTGTCAAAGCGGCGAACCTCGTGTATTTTTTTTTGGGGTGGGGGGGGAACGAATGCATTCTTAGAATGGGCCCCACATATTCTATCTCGGGAGTCTTGATAAGCTCCAGAAAGCTCGTATCCGTTGGATCTGCTAACCCTTGGATAATAGAGCGCCGTTCAATTTCGAAAAAGCGAGCTGGTCGACCGTTGAGGCTGGGGTATTGCTCTCAAGTTTGAAGGTCATGACTTGACTTCTTCTTGAATGAATGAAGTAACTAAGCATATTTGCTTCAGAATCTGGGCTTGGATCTGATTATTTTCTCCAGATTTCACATAGATCATGAGACACCATGGCTGGCAGCGTCCTCTACACCCTCTACAGGTATCCCACTCCGTTCAGCTTTTTCTCTCTCGATTTAATCTTGAATCTCGCAGCCGGATTTCACTTCACAGAATACCAATTTTACTACCTGTAGCTGTAATTCATGGCATGTTGATGTAAAACGCAATTGTCTTTTTTGAACCTTTTGTGCTTTCTCAATGTAAACTTCTTTATTTGAATTGTCTTATTCCTGACCAAATGCCCGGTTGTGAAAAGCCGTGAATTTGAGCTAACGTTTGTGGCTGGAAATCTCGCAGTATGTGGGAATGGCAATTTACAGTTTCCTGGTCGCGGCCTTCTATACTTTCCTGGGGCTTTTCTTTGGAAATAGAACAGCGGAGATTGTGATGAACGTGATATATTCCTGTGTGGTAATTTACTGCACACAATTTCGGAAATGACCTTTATCTTTAACCTCAGTTTTGTTAGAACTCACATAAGACTCACCAACTGTTTTCTTTTTCCCCAGGCATTCTCCGTTATGCTTCTGTACATTAGGTGTACCGCAATTGATCCAACAGACAGAACCAGTTTTAGGAAGAAAAAAGTAAAGTCTAATGGAATTTCCAAGCTAAATTATGGGTTTATGCTGGGACAGATTATCATAAGATTTTTCAGAAGGCTTGAAAGGAAGATGCTTAGGACATTCATCAAGAGGAAGTACCTAGATCCGTGGAAGACAAGTACCCAAATGGAGCCTTTGCTCCCATTTCCACTTGTCATGAAAGATGATGCCATTGCACCCAATCTGAAAGACGATGACATCTCATTTTGCTTGCTTTGTGATTTTGAGGTTTTCCAATAACTCCTTGTTGTTCGTTTTTGAAAGCTTTCCCTAATCAAACAATTTTCATTAAAGCATTCCACGAAGTAAAACTTTTTTTTAATCTGTGTCTCAGGTGAAAAAGCACAGTAAGCACTGCAGGACATGCAACCGCTGCGTTGAAGGGTTTGACCATCATTGCAGAGTGAGTACTGGCATTTGTGAATTTCTATTTGTATGGAGGAGTAGTTCACACTTTGATTGTCGAGATATAATTGGTCTTCTTCTTCTTCTTCTTTTTCCCCTAGTGGTTGAATAACTGCGTCGGGAAGAGGAACTACACAGCATTCTTTCTTCTTATGATTTTCGTCCTGTTAATGGTCAGTGGTATAGTCTGTTTCTGTTTCAGATTAAACAATGTTTGAATTACATTGATAAAACTTCTCCTTCATCACCTGTCGCATTCACAGTTAATCATCGAAGGGGAAGTGCAATTGCTATATGTCAGGTGCTTTGCAGATAAGAATGGAATAGAAAAGGAGCTTGAGAGAGAGTTTCATGTAGAGTTTCCAAGAGGAGTTCTTGCACTATATGTGTAAGAGTCATCTGAATTTTTTTGGGGGTATTTTGGATTTTTCTACTAGAATTTCAAGTTAAATCGAACATTCCTTTTTAATTTTCTTGAACCCCTCGCAATGCTACAGGTTTGCTAGTTTACTGACAGCTTATAGTTCAGCAGCACTGGGACAACTTTTCTTCTTTCATCTGGTTCTGATACGAAAGGTGGTTTTCTTTCTTTAACTGAGTACTGACTCTCTAATAAGCTA